CCTGGTAACTAGTAACAGTCCTGGTAACTAGTGACAGTCCTGGTAACTAGTGACAGTCCTGGTAACTAGTGACAGTCCTGGTAACTAGTAACGGTCCTGGTAACTAGTGACAGTCCTGGTAACTAGTGACAGTCCTGGTAACTAGTGGCAGTCCTGGTAACTAGTGACAGTCCTGGTAACTAGTAACGGTCCTGGTAACTAGTGACAGTCCTGGTAACTAGTGACAGTCCTGGTAACTAGTGACAGTCCTGGTAACTAGTGACAGTCCTGGTAACTAGTGACAGTCCTGGTAACTAATAACGGTCCTGGTAACTAGTGACAGTCCTGGTAACTAGTAACAGTCCTGGTAACTAGTGACAGTCCTGGTAACTAGTGACAGTCCTGGTAACTAGTGACAGTCCTGGTAACTAGTAACGGTCCTAGTAACTAGTGACACATAAAGATTATCAAAGACAGGAGAGAGAGGAGAGCCCATAGCCACACCGAAGGTTCGAGAACAATATTTTCCATGGAAGGAACAGGAACTAGAGTCCACACAGAGGCGGATAAGATCAAGAAAGACATCAGTAAGTATATGGAGATGAAGTAACCCTTCACTGACTTTCTCTCTAAGAAAATTAAGGACATCAAGAAGAACATTAGTGAAGAGGGACTCCACGTCAAGACTGAGTATCTTACAGGTCGGGAGAGGACGGTCACCTTCCATAACGTCTTGATGGTAACGGAAGTGAGCAGGAGAAAAAGTACCAAGAAAGGGAGTGAGGGTTTTGGCCAGCCAAGAAGCAAGAGAATAAGAGACAGAATCTCTAGAGGATATGATAGAACGGAGAGGAATATCAGGTTTATGAGTTTTGGGAAGACTATAGAAATAGGGCAGAGAGGGATAGATGACACGGGAACGTTGAACAAGGTCAAAGTCAGGAGGACAGAGGTCAGAGAGAGTCCTCAGTTTCTTGTACATGACTGGTATACAATACCGACAAGTTGATAAATTTAGACATATAGTTGCAACCCCTGAATGGGTTACAATGATTATTATGTATATGTATATTTTCATATAATTTTATATTGCTTATATTTGCGATAATAGCTAAATCGTAAATGTATTGCTTTATATTGTTATTTGATGTAGCTTCCTTTGTTAGGTAGGATGTAACATGTGTGCTCAGTTCAAGTCTTGATTGTCAAACTACTGTAATTATCGCTTGTCGCTCGTTATACTGCCGGCTTCTGAGCTGTGCTGTCCACGGGGCTATCACGTGATCGAGGGGAGGGTGTCCTCACCTCTCGTGAAGTATTCAGTCTGCTTGAGACTCACTTGGTGGTTGGACAGATTGTCTGTCTCATTATTCTTGTTAGTTCTGTAGAACTCTGTTCACAGAACATTGTATGGACTTAGTGATTTTCGACGTTGTACTGAGGTTGTGTGTCGCTTAGACACTCTGAGTAACTCAGGTCCTGAGCTGTAGCTTCTGACCTAACTTGTACTGGTATCTAACTTGTACTGGTATCTAACTTGTACTGGTATCTAACTTGTACTGGTATCTGTGTACTGTCACAGTCGGGTATTTTGTTATGCTGAACTTAGATTCAGTAGTATGGGAGTTTTGTGACTTTTGTGGAGGATCTGCTGATGGTCCCTACTTAGTGTCGTTATCTCCTTGTTCCTGATTGTGTCACAGTCGCTTGTTATATGGCTATTGGGTTTAGCATTCTTTTGTTGTTCAAGCAGACTGTTCTGATTGCCAGTCGGTCAAGAAGTTAATTGATGTGAGGACTTTGTCAGTCACTTGTTTAAGTCTAGTCGAGTCGTGAGACATAGTGAACTACTTAGAGCACTTACACACTTACACACAAACTTACTTGTACATATTTGTAATATCTTATTAAATGTTAATGTACCAGACGGTACTTAAGAATTATAAATGTGATATGTGCTTTCAGCACAATAATATTGAACTCGAGAGAAGTGATTAATATTATTTTGATTACTGTGATTAACTTAATTTAATTTGATAATATACCTCTAGACTTAATAAATTTATTAAATTTTAATTTCTCTAGTTAGTAGCCTACCAGTTGTAATCCTGAAGCACTATTGAATAATACTGAATACTAATGGATAATTGGACAAGGATACTGACTACTTGTTACGAAAACCCAGTAACAGGCTGGATGCTAGAAGGGCAGTCCTTTCTAGTATTACCTGGAGATCTCTAAGCTTTTAGAATCGCGTTTTTTTGTAACAACTGGTGCCAGCATCAAACAACCTGGTGTCAACATCCAGCAGCCTGGTGCCAGCATCCAGCTGCTTGGTGTCAGCATCCAGGAGCCAGGTGTAAGCATCCAGCAGCCCGGTGTCAGCATCAATCAGCCTGGTGTCAGCATCCAGCAACCTGGTTTCAGCATCCAGCAGCCTGGTGCCAGCATCCAGCTGCTTGGTGTCAGCATCCAGTAGCCTGGTGTAAGCATCCAACAACCTGGGGTCAGCATCCAGCAACCTGGTTTCAGCATCCAGCAACCTGGTGTCAGCATCCAGCAACCTGGTGTCAGCATCCAGCAACCTGGTGTTAGCATCCAGCAACCTGGTGTCAGCATCCAACAACATTGTGTCAGCATCCAGCAACCTGGTGTCAGCATCCAGCATCCTGGTGTCAGCATCCAGCAGCCTGGTGTCAACATCCAAAAGCCTGGTGTCAGCATCCATCAACCTGGTGTCAGCATCCAGCAACCTGGTGTCAGCATCCAGCAACCTGGTGTCAGCATCCAGCAACCTGGTGTCAGCATCCAGCAAACTGGTGTCAGCATGCAGCAACCTGGTTTCAGCACCCAGCAGCCTGATGTCAATATCCAGCAACATGGTGTCAGCATCCAGCAACCTGGTGTCAGCATCCAGCAGCCTGGTGTCAGCATTCAGCAACCAGGTGTTAGCATCCAGCAGTCTGGTGTCAGCATCTAGCAACCTGGTGTCAGCATGCAGCAACCTGGTGTCAGCATGCAGCAGCCTGGTGTCAGCATTCAGCAGCCTGCAGCAAGCTGGTGTCAGCATCCATCAACCCGGTGTCAGCATCCAGCAGCCTGGTGTCAGCATCCAGCAGCCTGGTGTCAGCATGCAGCAACCTGGTGTTGGCATGCAGCAACCTGGTGTCAGCATCCAGCAGCCTGGTGTCAACATGCAGCAGCCTGGTGTCAGCATCCAGCAGCCTGGTGTCAGCATCCTCCAGCCTGGTGTAAGCATCAAACAACCTGGTGTCAGCATCCAACAGCCTGGTGTCAGCATCCAGCAGCGTGGTGTCAGCATCCAGCAGCGTGGTGTCAGCGTCCAGCAGCCTGGTGTCAGCGTCCAGCAGCCTGGTGTGAGCATCCAGCAGCCTGGTGTGAGCGTCCAGCAGCCTGGTGTCAGCATGCAGCAGCCTGGTGTCAGCGTACAGCAGCCTGGTGTCAGCATCCAGCAGCCTGGTGTCAGCGTCCAGCAGCCTGGTGTCAGCATCCAGGAGCCTGGTGTCAGCGTCCAGCAGCCTGGTGTCAGCATCCAGCAGCTTGGTGTCAGCGTCCAGCAGCCTGGTGTCAGCGTCCAGCAGCCTGGTGTCAGCGTCCAGCAGCCTGGTGTCAGCGTCCAGCAACATGGTGTCAGCGTCCAGCAGTCTGGTGTCAGCGTCCAGCAACCTGGTGCCAGCGTCCAGCAGCCTGGTGTCAGCGTCCAGCAGCCTGGTGTCAGCGTCCAGCAACCTGGTGTCAGCATCCAGCAGCCTGGTGTCAGCGTCCAGCAACCTGGTGTCAGCGTCCAGCAACCTGTTGTCAGCGTCCAGCAACCTGGTGTCAGCGTCCAGCAGCCTGGTGTCAGCGTCCAGCAACCTGGTGTCAGCGTCCAGCAACCTGGTGTCAGCGTCCAGCAACCTGGTGTCAGCGTCCAGCAACCTGGTGTCAGCGTCCAGCAACCTGGTGTCAGCATCCAGCAACCTGGTGTCAGCGTCCAGCTACCTGGTGTCAGCGTCCAGCAACCTGGTGTCAGCGTCCAGCAACCTGCTGTCAGCGTCCAGCAATCTGGTGTCAGCGTCCAGCAACCTGGTGTCAGCGTCGAGAAACCTGGTGTCAGCGTCCAGCAACGTGGTGTCAGCGTCCAGCAGCCTGGTGTCAGCGACCAGCAACCTGGTGTCAGCGTCCATCAACCTGGTGTCAGCGTCCAGCAACCTGGTGTCAGCGTCCAGCAACCTGGTGTCAGCGTCCAGCAACCTGGTGTCAGCGTCCAGCAACCTGGTGTCAGCGTCCAGCAACCTGGCGTCAGCGTCCAGCAGCCTGGTGTCAGCGTCCAGCAACCTGGTGTCAGCGTCCAGCAGCCTGGTGTCAGCGTCCAGCAACCTTGTGTCAGCGTCCAGCAACCTGGTGTCAGCGTCCAGCAGCCTGGTGTCAGCGTCCAGCAACCTGGTGTCAGCGTCCAGCAACCTGGTGTCAGCGTCCAGCAGCCTGGTGTCAGCGTCCTGCAACCTGGTGTCAGGGTCGAGCAGCCTGGTGTCAGCATCCAGCAACCTGGTGTCAGCATCCAGCAACCTGGTGTCAGCATCCAGCAACCTGGTGTCAGCATCCAGCAACCTGGTGTCAGCATCCAGCAACGTGGTGTTAGCATCCAGACCCCTGGTGTCAGCATGCAGCAACCTGGCGTCAGCATCCAGCAACCTGGTGTCAGCATCCAGCAACCTGGTGTCAGCATCCAGCAACCTGGTGTCAGCATCCAGCAACCTGGTGTCAGCATCCAGCAACCTGGTGTCAGCATCCAGCAACCTGGTGTCAGCATCCAGCAACCTGGTGTCAGCATCCAGCAACCTGGTGTCAGCATCCAGCAGCCTGGTGTCAGCATCCTCCAGCCTGGTGTAAGCATCAAACAACCTGGTGTCAGCATCCAGCAGCCTGGTGTCAGCATCCAGCAACCTAGTGTCAGCATCCAGCAAACTGGTGTCAGCATCCAGCAGCCTGGTGTCAGCATCCAGCAACCTGGTGTCAGCATGCAGCAGCCTGGTATCAGCATCCAACAGCCTGGTGTCAGCATGCAGCAATCAGGTGTCAGCATGCAGCAACATGGTGTCAGCATCCAGCAACCTGGTGTCAGCATCCAGCAACCTGGTGTCAGCATTCAGCAACCTGGTGTCAGCATCCAGCAGCCTGGTGTCAGCATCCAGCAGCCTGGTGTCAACAATGTTGCAACTCAGAGTTATATATATATATATATATATATATTTTATATATATATATATATATATATATATATATATATATATATATATATATATATATATAATATATATATATATGTATATATACATAAGATCACAGTAAACAGGTGATATTAGAATACACAAAACGACACTGTGAAAGACTAGTGAAATTCCAAGCTGCTACTGACCCATTCGAAGCACGTGCATGCCACCCTCTGGCTTCGAACAATGACCACCTAGTCAGGTCACTTCCACATAAGGACGGAGCACGGCACCAGACCTGGTAGCCCAAGCTAGTCGGGTCCATCACACACACATTCATGTATTTATCCAACCAATAATAATACTTCACAACGTCTGTCTTAACTCACATTGTCAAGAAACTATAAAAACAATACATCAAAACAAGGCATATAAAGGTCAAGACTACACCTCACCATCACATGCCATAACATAGCTACACCTCACCATCACATGCCATAACATAGCTACACTTCACCATCACATGCCACAACATAGCTACACTTCACCATCACATGCCACAACATAGCTACACCTCACCATCACATGCCACAACATAGCTACACCTCACCATCACATGCCATAACATAGCTACACCTCACCATCACATGCCATAAAATAGCTACACCTCACCATCACATGCCACAACATAGCTACACCTCACCATCACATGCCGTAACATAGCTACACCTCACCATCACATGCCACAACATAGCTACACCTCACCATCACATGCCACAACATAGCTACACCTCACCATCACATGCCACAACATAGCTACACCTCACCATCACATGCCATAACATAGCTACACATCACCATCACATCCCACAACATAGCTACACCTCACCATCACATGCCACAACATAGCTACACCTCACCATCACATGCCACAACATAGCTACACCTCACCATCACATGCCACAACATAGCTACACCTCACCATCACATGCCACAACATAGCTACACCTCACCATCACATGCCATAACATAGCTACACCTCACCATCACATGCCATAACATAGCTACACCTCACCATCACATGCCATAACATAGCTACACCTCACCATCACATGCCACAACATAGCTACACCTCACCATCACATGCCACAACATAGCTACACCTCACCATCACATGCCATAACATAGCTACACCTCACCATCACATGCCATAACATAGCTACACCTCACCATCACATGCCACAACATAGCTATACCTCACCATCACATGCCACAACATAGCTACACCTCACCATCACATGCCATAACATAGCTACACCTCACCATCACATGCCATAACATAGCTACACCTCACCATCACATGCCACAACATAGCTACACCTCACCATCACATGCCACAACATAGCTACACCTCACCATCACATGCCATAACATAGCTACACATCACCATCACATCCCACAACATAGCTACACCTCACCATCACATGCCACAACATAGCTACACCTCACCATCACATGCCACAACATAGCTACACCTCACCATCACATGCCACAACATAGCTACACCTCACCATCACATGCCACAACATAGCTACACCTCACCATCACATGCCATAACATAGCTACACCTCACCATCACATGCCACAACATAGCTACACCTCACCATCACATGCCACAACATAGCAACACCTCACCATCACATGCCATAACATAGCTACACCTCACCATCACATGCCACAACATAGCTATACCTCACCATCACATGCCATAACATAGCTACACCTCACCATCACATGCCATAACATAGCTACACCTCACCATCACATGCCATAACATAGCTACACCTCACCATCACATGCCATAACATAGCTACACCTCACCATCACATGCCATAACATAGCTACACCTCACCATCACATGCCATAACATAGCTACACCTCACCATCACATGCCATAACATAGCTACACCTCACCATCACATGCCATAACATAGCTACACCTCACCATCACATGCCATAACATAGCTACACCTCACCATCACATGCCATAACATAGCTACACCTCACCATCACATGCCATAACATAGCTACACTTCACCATCACATGCCATAACATAGCTACACCTCACCATCACATGCAATAACATAGCTACACCTCACCATCACATGCCATAACATAGCTACACTTCACCATCACATGCCACAACATAGCTACACCTCACCATCACATGCCACAACATAGCTACACCTCACCATCACATGCCACAACATAGCTACACCTCACCATCACATGCCATAACATAGCTACACCTCACCATCACATGCCAAACATAGCTACACCTCACCATCACATGCCACAACATAGCTATACCTCACCATCACATGCCACAACATAGCTACACCTCACCATCACATGCCATAACATAGCTACACCTCACCATCACATGCCATAACATAGCTACACCTCACCATCACATGCCACAACATAGCTACACCTCACCATCACATGCCACAACATAGCTACACCTCACCATCACATGCCATAACATAGCTACACATCACCATCACATCCCACAACATAGCTACACCTCACCATCACATGCCACAACATAGCTACACCTCACCATCACATGCCACAACATAGCTACACCTCACCATCACATGCCACAACATAGCTACACCTCACCATCACAAGCCACAACATAGCTACACCTCACCATCACATGCCATAACATAGCAACACCTCACCATCACATGCCATAACATAGCTACACCTCACCATCACATGCCACAACATAGCTACACCTCAGCATCACATGCCATAACATAGCAACACCTCACCATCACATGCCACAACATAGCTACACCTCACCATCACATGCCACAACATAGCTACACCTCACCATCACATGCCATAACATAGCTACACCTTACCATCACATGCCATAACATAGCTACACTTCACCATCACATGCCATAACATAGCTACACCTCACCATCACATGCCATAATATAGCTACACCCCACACATGCCATAACATAGCTACATTCACCATCCATGCCAACATACTACACTCACACATCAACATGCCATAACAGCTACATCCCACCATCACAACTAACATCCACACTTCACCATCCAATATGCCAACAGCTACTCCAACATGCCATAACATGCTACACTTCACCATCACATGCCATAACATAGCACACCTACCATCACATCCAAACTAGTACACTACCACCACCATCCATCATAGCTACCTCACCTCACATGCCTCATAATAACACACCTCACCATCACATGCCATAACATAGCTACACTTCACCATACATGCCATAACATAGCTACCCTCAACCATCACATGCCCATCATATAGCTACACCTCACCATCATCCATACATACTACACCTCACACATCCATAAATAGCTTCACCATCACCATATATGCCACATTATAGCTACACCTCCATCACATGCCGTAAAGCTACACCATGATCACATCTCACCAAAATAACTACACTACCTCCACCACACATGTACACTACATCACATTCACAAGCAACCTCACATCCATCCCACACATTGCTACACCACCATCACATCCCTCGAATAGTAACTCATGACACATCTACAACATAAGTACACTCACCATCAATCCCACACTATAGCTCACATCATTTCAATCACAGTATCTACACCTCACCATCACATCCACAAAAGGCTAAACCACAATCAACCCTCGCATCCGCACATAGCTACAATTCCGTCACCCCCAAAGATAGCTAACATCTCCTCCATCCACAACATAGCTACACACACCATCAATCCCCACCATCTACACATCACAATCACACCAGAATAGCTACACCTCACCGTCAATCCCACACTAGCTACACCTCGGATCACATCCCAGAATAGCTCACATTAGCATCACATTAACATCAAAGACCATCACCAACATCCACACAAGCTACACGCCACCATTATCGCACAACATAGCTGCCTCTCATCACTGCCACACATAGTACACTTCACATCACAGCCACAAATAGTACACCACCATCAAGCAAACATAGCTACACCTCACCATCACATGCATAACTAGCAACCTCACATCACATGCCGTAACATACTACACCTCTCATACATGCACAAAATTTAACCTCACATCACAGCAACAACATAGCTACACCTCGGCATCCATCCCAGAACTACAAACATTACCATCACATTTAACATCAAGCACACATCACCATACATCCCACACAAGAGACCCCACCACAAGTCCCAACATAGCTAAATCACCTCACATCCCCCAAGCTACATACCATCACATGCACACATAGTATACACAGCATCACATCCACAATATCTACTCTCACCATCACACACTAAACTATGTAACATACCATCAATCCACAACATAGCTACACCTCACTACATCCATAACAAGCTCACATCACCATCACATAACACAAATAGCTACAGCTCACATAACATCCCAAATAGGTCACCTCACCTACATCCGACAACATAGACACCTCGCATTACATGCAAAACATGCTACACCTCACAATCACATCCATAACATAGCTACACATCACATCACATCCCCAAAAAGCTACACTTCCCATCTCATCCCACAACATAGACACCTCACCACACATCCCAAAACATAGCTGCACTCACTATCCATGCCCAACATACTACCCACCTCAGTCCCACATAGCTCACCACATACTGCATAAATAGCTACACCTCACTCACCTTAACGCTAACTACCATCAATGCTAAATAGACACCTACTTCATGCAAACATAGCTCACCTCCAATCACATCCTACTAGTGCACATCACCATCACATGCACACTAGCAACCCACAACATTGCCAATACACTCCCCACTCCCACCTAGCTACACTACACAACCCACACAGCTAACCTCACCTTAATGCTCAACATAGCTA